GAGAGTGAGAGTGAATGGGAGAGAAGGAAAAGGATGAGCAGGGCGGTGATAGTGAAAGATAGGAGGAGAGAGAGGGATTGAAAGGGAGGGAGAGTGAGGGTGAAGTAGAAGGAGTGAGAGAGAAGAGGATTAGGAAGCCGGTGAGAGAGAGAGAGACAGAGAGAGAGAGAGAGAGAGAGAGAGAGAGAGAGAGAGAGAGAGAGAGAGAGAGAGAGAGAGAGAGAGAGAGAGAGAGAGAGAGAGAGAGAGAGAGAGAGAGAGGGAGGAGATTAGGTAGGAGGACTGTGAGAGAGAGTGAGAGAAAGGGGTCAAGGAGGAAAAGAGAAGAGGATTAGATGACGAAAGAGTGGATGTGAAGGAGAGAGAAAGAAGAGGATTTTGAGAAAGGTGAGACTCAGAGAAAAGATGGAAGAGTGAGAGTGAGAGAGAGAGAGAGAGAGAGAGAGAGAGAGAGAGAGAGAGAGAGAGAGAGAGAGAGAGAGAGAGAGAGAGAGGAGGATTAGGAGGACGGCGACAGAGAGAGGATGTAAGAGAAAGTGAAAGAAAGGTTGAGAAAGTAATTCCGAGGTAGGTGTTGAGTAAAGAGAATGAGAGAGACCAGACGAAGGAAAAATATTAAACCAAGATAAAAGTCAGAGATCCCCAACAAATATCCCTCCAAAATAAAGTTAAAAACAAATAAAAAGAGACATAAATAAAACAAACAAACAAATTAAAAACAACATAGATAAAACATAACAAAAAGAAAAACGTAAAAAAATGGCAAAATAATATTTTTTTCGAGATAAAGCAGCAGAGGGCAGAGTAGCGCCTCCAACTTCCCTCCGAGACGGACATTGTAAGGAGTTTCTTGTGCCTTCGCTTGGGCCAGACAATACGCCTAATTTCGTCTTCTTTCTCCACTTAAGAGGACAAGAGCGCGTGGAGGGGGGGTGGGAGGGTGTGGGTGGGGGTGGGGAGTGTGGAGGGTGGGGGGAGAATGAGGGGGGTTCGTTAGTGAAGTGATGTATTCTTATCTTTTAAAAGGGTTGTGTGCTTGGGTAGGGGGTTTGGGGGAGGGTGGGGTGGGGTGAGGGGTGAGAGGGGGAACTAATGTATTACTCTTATGGTTTCGTACCGTTATTTCGTGTGTTATTTGCTTTCCAAGTGAAGGATTATGGATTTTTATGCTTCTTATTTTTATCACCACCCTCTATGTTATATAAAGAGATCATGTCAAATTATTATGGAGAGATTGCCATAAATTGTATTTCTTAGAAACTATTAAGATTACTGCAGAGCCTCCGCCCCCCCTCAAAAGAAAGAATACTCGATTTTTCTATCTTCTCAAATATTGGTGTAGTTACGCAGCCAGACATAGTGAGCTAAATACATTGTTCTTGAATCTCGTAAAAGCGATTTGTCGAAGAGAGAGAGAGAGAGAGAGAGAGAGAGATGAAAAAAAAGATAAATAAAACGTGTATTTGGATAGATATACAGACGGACTCATTTTTAAAGATATATCCCAGTAATAAAGAACAAAAATCCCTTTATCCTACATCAAATAAAAACAGCCTGAAAAAAACAGAAAAAAAACATACATAATTAAAATAAAATAAAATAGCGAAAACAGACAGAAAAACGCTCTCTCTAAGAAAGAAAAAGAAAATAAAAAAAAACAGTAAATAGACAGAAAAACGCTCTCTGTAAGAAAGAAAAAGAAGAAGAAGAAAAAAAACGGTAAATAGACAGAAAAATCGGTCTCTCCAACTACCTTGTTCTGGAGTTGTTCCCACAGCTTGGCTTCGGCGACGACGTGCTTGGCGAGGGCGTCGAGTTCCGCGCCCGAGGCCAACGGTTCCACTTTGGGCTCCGACCTCTTCTTTCCACATCCTGAGGGAGAGAAGATGATGCAAGTGGTAATGTGATTATGGTAATGATGATGTATGGTATGTGGGGTGAGATATTAGTTATGGTTCAGTTTAATTTTAGCGACATTTTCATCGCTAATCTTATAGAAAAAAATGGTAGGCTAACTGTAAAACGTATTTGAAACTCAACAAGTGGAATTACTTGGCGATATGCATTTATTTTTATTTTTTATTTCCTTTTCTTTTCCTTTTTAATATAGCATAATGTGGCTTCGAAAAATATAAAAAATTCTCAACGGGCGCACTTCTCGTTGAAAACAATAAACCCGTTCGTCTATCTGCGAATCCACCTGAATCCGCGTTAATCCGTACCGAATTTATTCGCTTTATGTATTTTTGATAGCCGCGCCTTTGAAACATACCTTTACATGTCAATATCATACCCCCCAAAATACACGAATATTTGCAAGATTATTCTTTGCAAGATTATGTTTTTTTTTTATTATTATTATAATCATTACTATTCGTACCAAATAGAAAGTTATGAAAGAGCGTTCGCGTATGAGAATCCGCTGCAAGACAGACTGGACACGGCGGAGGTGATGGATGGTGCTGTTATAAGATCAACGGGATTAGTCTTGGGCGGGCGGAATAGGTCGAATGAGAATACCGGAGGGAGTGAGGAATAAAATGCTGAGAGAATGGATAGGGTACAGAAGGGAAGGGGGGGGGGAGATAGGTAGATGGATGAGAGAGAGAGAGAGATAGATAGATAGATAGAGAGAGAGAGAGAGAGAGAGAGAGAGAGAGAGAGAGAGAGAGAGAGAGAGAGAGAGAGAGAGAGAGAGAGAGAGAGGAAGAAACAGAACAGATAAAGACAAGATGTTTATAAAGTGAAAATAACTCACGTTTTGTTAGTTTTGTCCCTTTTTTCGCCATCACTTTCTTTCTTTCTATTTTCTCCCCATTTTCGGTATCTCCTCACCTTTCTGTTAACCTATCTTGCCTTTATCTATTTCACCTCCTCTTCTCCCGGCTATCTTACCTTATCGTTCTCCACATTTATCCATTTCTTTCTTCGTCTTTTTACCACAATAAACTTACCGGTGAATGCATTGCAGAAGGGGCGTTTGTCCTTCCCATCGAGCAAATCAGCGATGTCCTGGAAAAGGGTCATTTGGCAGCGTTAATGAATAGGAAAAACGACCTTACAGAGTGATTCAATGTCTGTATGTGTTTGGATGGTGTTTTTATGTTGTTTTTTGTGTGTAAAAGTTTTGTTTGTTTGAAAATGATGATAGCTATACAACTATCTAATGATTTGTTTATTCATTACCTCTTTTATTATTGTTATTATCTTTGTCATTATAATTATGATGATGATGATGAAGATTATTATTATCAGTATTACTGCTATTGCTGTTATCATTATTCTCTTTATTACTCTAATAATTATCATTTTTACTAATATTATCATTGTTATTACAATTATTATCATTATCATTATTATTATCATTATTATTATCCCCATTATCGTCAAAACACTGTTGAGAGAGAGAGAGAGAGAGAGAGAGAGAGAGAGAGAGAGAGAGAGAGAGAGAGAGAGGAAGAAACAGAATAGATTAAGACAAGATGTTTATAAGGTGAAAATAACTCACGTTTTGTTAGTTTTGTCTCTTTTTTCGCCATCACTTGAAATCCGTTTTCTTTCTTTCTATTTTCTCCCCATTTTCGGTATTCCTCACCTTTCTGTTATCCTATCTTGCCTTATCTATTTCACCTCCTCTTCTCCCGGCTATCTTACCTTATCGTTCTCCACATTTATCCATTTCTTTCTTCGTCTTTTTACCACAATAAACTTACCGGTGAATGCATTGCAGAAGGGGCGTTTGTCCTTCCCATCGAGCAAATCAGCGATGTCCTGGAAAGGGTCATTTGGCAGCGTTAATGAATAGGAAAAACGACCTTACAGAGTGATTCAATGTCTATATGTGTTTGGATGGTGTTTTTATGTTTTTTTGTGTGTAAAAGTTTTGTTTGTTTGTTTGTTTGAAAATGATGATAACTATACAACTATCTAATGATTTGTTTATTCATTACCTTTTTTTATTATTGTTATTATCTTTGTCATTATAATTATGATGATGATGATGAAGATTATTATTATCAGTATTACTGCTATTGCTGTTATCATTATTCTCTTTATTACTCTAATAATTATCATTTTTACTAATATTATCATTGTTATTACAATTATTATCATTATCATTATTATTATCATTATTATTATCCCCATTATCGTCAAAACACTGTTACTGTTGTTATTATACATCGTCATCCCTGTCAATATCACCATTATATATAAAGATAACTTACTACTGTCATCCACATTATCCCCTGGTCTCACTAATGCTATTCAAACACAAAACATAAATCTTCTGAAAACGGCCTCCACAAAAGACCAAAAAGTTCCCCAACTGACGAGAGGAGAGAGAGAGAGAGAGAAAAAAAATCAGGTAAATGCAAACGCGGTTTCATTTAATGACCATCCGTGCATGTGATCATAAATTCTAATGAACGACGAAATAAGATTAGGCCCCTCTCAAAAAAAAAGAAAAAAAAAAAATCTCACTCCAGTTTTCTTTAGTGTTGACAATGCAGGAGATTTTCGCGAATCAAAGTCACGGCGCACTTTGATCGCGTCTTGTGTGTTTAGCGGGAAAACTCTTCACAAGGAGAAATGTCCTCGCCTGCCATTGTTTTCCCTGTTTCTTTTATTTCTACCGATGCTTTTAAGTTGATTTCGGCGATATTTAGAAAGTGTATGTGGCGTTTGTGAGTTTTTTTTTCCCCTCCCTCCCTCCCCTCCTTCCCTCCCTCCCTCCCCTCCTTCCCTCCCTCCCTCCCCTCCTTCCCTCCCTCCCTCCCTCCCTCCCTCCCTCCCCCTCCTTCCCTCCCTCCCTCCCTCCCTCTATCTTCCACCATTATCTCTTTCAGCTTCTCTCTTCTCTTTGTCTCTCTCTTCCCCCTCCCTCCTCCACTCACCCTCTTGGCAACGGGTCCGGCATGGGAATGGGCGGCCAACAACAGCAGGAGGAGAGAAGCAGCGGCAATCACGCCCGCACGCCCGCACCAGTTCATGGTTGACATCTTGGATCTGTGGGTGGAAAGGGGGAGACGGCGATGAAGAGGGAGTTAGATATATGTGATAAATAGAAGAGGAGGGAGAGGGGGATAAAGAGATTATGGATATACATATTGTGAAAATTTGGCATTTGATTAGGTAAGTGGGAAGAGAGAGACGGGATAAAGATAGGGTTGGAGATAAACTGTAAGAAATTGGAAGGGGAGAGGCGGGAATAAAGATAAGATTAGAAATGGATGATTAGACAGATAAATGACAAAAGAGAGGCGGAGTTAGAAACTTGACTGAGATAAAATATGATAAATAAATGCATAAATAGATAAAAGAATACTTAAGCTGAACAGAAGTGTACATCAAAATAATTACAAGTGGTGATAAGAAAATCTGATAAAGATAGCTGTGACGATTGAACTTTTAATAATTTATTGCGAAAAAGAGACAGAGAGACAGGCAGACAAACAGACAGAGCCTATAATGATTATCGTTTAGGTCTTCCTGATACTGACAAAAAAAAACAAAATTTTAGTAATGAAAGACAAAAGCATATGACAAACAATGGGTGAATCGTAAAAGAATTTGATATTAGAAATAATGTATACATAATGAAGTCATGATAATGAAGTCTTCATCATATTTTTTTCCTGAGAATTTTTGCCGACACTGTACATAAACTTCAAAGCTAAAAAGATTCCAGTACAGATTTAATTAGTTTTAAATCACAAAATAGTCGGAAAGTATGCCAGAGTTGACAGTTAAATCGATATAGCAATTATCATTTTGATGTATAAAATGCTCCAAAACAACTAAGCCTTCTCTACATATATATCTACAATCCACAACGCATATTCTGTAATACCGCCTAGAATACTGCCATTGTAGATGGAAATTATTCAAAATAACCAATAATGGCGACATACAGGAGCCAATCACGTTATTCATGTAACTCTCTATATGACGTCCTACCCAATTATTAATACCAAAGAAAACGGGGTTATGACTATTCGAGGGGGGATTAGCCTATTTCGAACTTCCAATGGGCCTCTCCCTAGGGCGCCGATCAGGAGGAGGGAGAAGCCTAGTTTTAGGTCGGTAGTTCTTCCTCTTTCCTTTCTTTTGTATTTTGTTCTTTGCTTAGGGTTTTGGTTTATCTTGTTCTGTTTTATTTTTTTTCACTCTCTCTTGTTTTGGTTTTCACTTGTTTCTTTCTTTTTTTCTCTCTCTCTCTTTCTTGTTTTAGTTTTGGTTATTTTTTTTCTCTCTGTATGTATGTTGTCTTTTATTTTTTCTTCTTATTTCTATGACAGGAAAATCGCTCTGAGCCTCGTAATATGTTAATCGTTTCCTGCAATCTGTGATATGAGGTGATGATGAAAATCGACGAAGGAAATTGGATAATATCCGTGGTCGTTGCAGCTTCCAGATTTTGCAACCTAAAACGTACACGCAAACACACAGACACAATGTTTGTATATATATGTATATGTATATATATACATACGTACATACATACATACATACATACATACATACATACATACATACATACATACATACACACATAAATATATACATACATACATGCATACATACATGCATACACACGTACATACATAAATAGTTATAAATGCGTGTGTATGTGTAATGTTCATCACCACATAAGACATGTCACTCGCCTCCGCATCACAGACCATCATATAACTTTCCGCTGCGTCACCTCTCGTCGTCTCCGATACCATAAACCTCTTAACAATTTCACCCCAACCTTCGCCACCAACCTATACCCTGTTTCCCTTCATTTACCCTTCTTTACCTTCCCCCCCTTCCCCAACCCCTCTTCCTTCACCTTCCTTTCCCCTGCCCGCTTCTCTTCCCTCCCTTCCCTATCCCTTCCCCCTTCTTTCCCCTCCCCATCCCCTCCCCCCTTCCCTCCCCTCCCCACCCCCTTCCCCCTTCCCTCCCCTCCCCTCCCCCCTTCCCCTCCCCCCATCCCGATCCCTTCTTCCAATACCCCCTCTCTTCCCCCCCTCCCCCCTCCCCCCCTTTGCAATATCCCCCGCACATCCATAAAAGTCAAGCCGATCTTTGCACGTGCACTTGACACTTCTGCCTCCCTTTCAACTCCCACTTCATTGGTACAAAGTGTGTTCTCGTTTCATTAATCTTTTTAGCTCTCTTCTGTCGTACTCTTTCTGTCTCCCCTTTCTGTTGCTTGGGCTTTCATCTTTACTTGTTTCTATTTTTTCCCCCTTTTTTTTGAGGGGGGGGGGGCGTTTGCTTTTTAGTTTTGTCTACGGCAGACTGATGGGTTATCTGTGTGTTTTGTTACGTGTTTTTGTAATCGCATTTTCTTTGTCTTTGTTTCTGTTATATGATCTCACCTCTCTCTCTCTCTCTCTCTCTCTCTCTCTCTCTCTCTCTCTCTCTCTCTCTCTCTCTCTCTCTCTTTCTCTCTCTCTCTCTCTCTCTTTATATATATATGAACTTTCCTCTCGCTTCAGCATTCCCTACCTTAATTCCTATTTCTCAACGGGCTTCGCGCAAAGAGGAAATTTCACCGCGATCTGAATACGACCAGCGGTCCTCTATTTTCGGGAAATGTTTGTTATTATTATTATCATTATTATTATTACATTTCTTCATCTTCTTCTTTTTATTGTTGTTGTTGTTTTTATTTCTATTGTTATCATTATTATTATTATCATTATTATCATTCTTTGAAAAAGTATGAATACAACAACAATCTATTCGAAACCAGTTAAATACATTTTTTGCATTGTGAAAATATTCCTTCTCATTCATACCTTTTCTTCATTTGTCGCTATGAATATGGTTCATTATCATTCTTATTTCTTATTCCAAACAAAACTTTTTATCTGTCAATTTATCTTCTGCCAGTTCTCGTATCTCTTATCCTTTATATCTATTTATCGTTCTATTCATATATATCTTTTAATTTATTCATCTCGTTAGGTATCTGTCTACTTAACATTCCACTTGTCTATCTATGAATCTATGTATCTACCTGTTTACCTATCTGTCTGTCTACTTATTTATCTATCTGTCTGCCTGTCTGTCAGTCTATCTATCTGTCTGCCTGTCCATCTGGTTATCTATGTATCTGTCTGCCTGTCTGTCTATCTATCTATCTGCCTGTCTGTCTATCTATCTGTCTGCCTGCCTGTCTATCTATCTACCTACCTATCTATCTATCTATCCGTCTATCTATCTATCTATCTATCTATCTCTTTAACCTCCCCCTTGTTCCCACAATTCTCTCTTCTTTTAGTCATAATCTTACGTCACCATAATTTTCAAACCTACTCGAGAGGAGCAAGGGTCCAGAAGGTATTTAACTCTTAATTCTTCGTTCGGCGCCCAAATATTTCGTTCAGCCCGGCCGAGTTTGCGCTCTTTATCTTCCAAATTAACCCTTAATCAACGGCCGTAAAAATGTTGGCTGAATCTTATCAAAATGGAGCGCGGTCTTTTTCTTTTATATTATTGGAATCTAGTATTTTCTTTTCTTCATTTTTCCTGAATCGACAGTTAAGTCTTTTAAGATGTTTCCTAAATTACTTGATTGTTACGAAGTTTGTCTACTTCGAAAGAAATGCATATTTGATCAATCTTCCTTGCAATTTAAGTAATTTACGAAGGCTCAGCTTATGCGGGGGTGTTTATATGGACACACACACACACAATATATATATATATATATATATATATATATATATATATATATATATATATATATATATATATATATATATATATATATATATACTAATACACGAGAGAGGAAGAGAGAGAGATAAAGAGAGAGAGAAAGAGAGAGAGAGAGAGATGTGTTCATATATACGTGTATATGTGTCTTCATATACTAGTGTGCGTGCGTGTAACTAGAGGCATGGTCGTGTAGATGTTTTGTGTTAAGATGTAAAGTACTCCCTTTTACCCGTAAGTGTGTCTTTGTTTACTTGTCCTTCAGTAGCACAAAGGGAAAAAGTTACCCTTCAAGAAAATAATCACATGATGGCTAAGAAAGAGAAAGCAGAAAAAAAAGTACAAAAAGAAAAAGTTTCAGGAAACTCTTACATCTCAAAGACATAACTCGAATCTAATTACCCCTGAACCAGATCCTAAAAAAAAGTCCTTAAAAAAGAAAACGCATCGCATATCACCAAGATTCCCAAAAGAAACAAATAACAAAGATAGTCAATAAAGAAAAAGAAAACGAAAACAAACTGAATTTCAAACTGAAACTCAAAACTTTAAGCCCGTTGCCCCTGTAAACACAAGAAAAAAACAAAACAAAAAACAAAAACGAAGCGCATTAACATCGTCCAGTGAGCGGGCGTGCATTAGGCAGGGCTTTGACGGCGCTCTTTTGTCCCAGCGAGCCAGAGTTCAAGCGAGCGCTGGTCCTCACGCCCGTGTGAGTGCCCTTGGATGCCGCCCACTCGCCCTCTCGTCTGATGTCTGTGTTATGGGCGGCTGAGGGAATTTCCTGTGGTTGGAAGGCGTGTCGGAGGGGGGGCGGGGGTAATTTCTGGAATTGTGTGTCTGTTTGTTTGTGTGTGCGTGTGTGTGTGTGTGTGTGTGTGTGTGTGTGTGTGTGTGTGTGTGTGTGTGTGTGTGTGTGTGTGTGTGTGTGTGTTTGTGTGTGTGTGTGTGTGCTTGTCTGTGTTTGTGTGTATTTGGATTGTGTGTGCTTGAATTGTATGAAAGTACATGTGTAGGGATATATTGTGTGCATAAGTGTGGGCATAGCTATGCGAAGGTGTATATGCATATAAGTATATATGAAATGGTAAATTGATATAATTTATGCATGAATTTGTGGAAACCGTAGTGATTCAGAAAATGAAAAAACATCAACATAAATGATAATAACAACAATGATGAAACTGATGATAACACCGATAATAATAATGATAACAGCAACAATGATGCACTCATAATAAACCGACTTTTCTCCACCAAAGCCACAGCATTCCAGCGTCTG